AAATAGGTAATATAGAAAAGTTACATATGTAACCAGTTGTACACTTGTTTAATAGTTCATTATAGATATGTCTATATAAAACATATACCTACTATAAGTATTAATAAAAAGCTCGGACCAAAGAGTCATCTTAATATCCAAAAAAAAAATCTATTTATAAATTATTTATTATATTGTACAATATATATTTATATTATAATATCTATAGTATATAATTGTAGATCCATTATACATCTATTATATTACACATATTCGATATATGTATATTGATCTATGATACGATATATGTATATACATATATATTGTACTATTATTATGCAGGGCATGCAACCAAATTTGGGATCTCTGTTGGTTCACAAAAAAAAAGCATGACAGAGAATCACATTTTAATAGAGTGAACCAACTTTTTTTTTTAACAGAGATTCTGAATATAGGTCATATTCAGAATCTGTTAAAATCTGTTAAAAAAAAACATAGTAAAAAAAGCATAACATACATTTATGCTTTAGTAGAGAGAAGATTATGATTATATAACTTGTATAAGATAAGTATACAACTAGCCACATGTACAACTTTTGGTTGTTTATTTTAAGTAGTCTACTCATATAGCAGGTTTTACACTAGCTGCCAAATCTGCAATCTACTAAAAGATTATTTATTTAAATACTCTGATCTTTATATATATATTGACAAATAGCATACAAGTTTCTGTATATCTAAGTGCTATCTAATCTAATCTTGATTATCTTTTCTGTATATCTGTTAAGCTATTACACATTTCAGAGTATATCACATGACTATAAGGATTTAAAAGGCCTTTCTGCTAACTAATTATTTACATTTAATTTTTTTGTTAATAGAATTTATTTTTGCAGAGTTTACTTAAACCTTAGTATTGACTTTATAGCATATTCTAATACTTATAATATATTCCTGTTTTCAACTTCAAACTCTTATTTCAGATAGCCCAAAAGAACTATGACCTGTTTCTGGTACTCCAGAATCTGCCTTCTAAGGTTCTTCTCTTTTAGCTTAAGACTTCTGACAGTCTAATTGGTAGTATCTCTTATTTGAGGTTTTTGCTTATCTGATTTCTTCTATATTAGTATCTATTTTCTAGGTCTAGTCTTTATAGTAATACTGTCAAAGATCTGTGCTATCTTTCTACTTGTATTTTTCCAAGTAGGCTCTGGCTTCTCAGTTCACAGATTTATATGACCACAAGAACTTATCTTGGGTTTGCATTATCTGATGCCAGTTTGCATTTTTCCATATAACTCCAATATTGTGCAAATGCCCTATGACCTGTCAGTTATGCTAGTATGACTATGTTGCAAGTATCTTATCCTAACTAATTGATAAAATACTATCATTATAATACTGTCTATATATTATATAAATAATTATTCAAATTTTTATTATTAATAGATTTTGAACTTACTATCTATTACTTGAAAGGTTGACAACTTATTTACTTCACTAAGTCACCACACCTCCAAATTTTAAAATTATTAACAACTTAATACTAAATATTATAATTACAACTATAACAATATGATAAAGTTTATTATTAAACAATATTAAATAAAAACAAATTAGCATATATATAACAATATAATGATATATACTAACAAATCTAATTATTACAGTTAGACTCTATATTAGATCTTTAAAAGAAACAACAACAATAATAACTAAACTATTTATTAAAATAATATAAAAAATATATAACTGTATTTAAAAGTAATATGCTACAAAACTAATAATAAAAAAAATAACAATGTTTTATTAAATACAAATAGACTAATAACTTATACAAAATTATACAACTGTTATAAACATTATAATTTATACTATACAATTTGTCAATTTTGTGATTTATTTAATTAACTTTATATAAAAAACAATACTTGCTTATTGTATTTTACAAAATTAATTTTTGATCTGTATACTAGTTACTATATAACTATCTTATAAACAATATCAAATTTAGATAAGTTTTAATTACTTTATTAGGTTTAGGTTGCAAATAAATATGTTTATAATCAGAGATTCACTCTTGTAATATATTTGTAATTAGAATAAGTTTTGTAATTTATATTCAAAAAAGCTTCTAAAGGTTTTTTTAACAAATTAATAAAAATATAAACAAAACCTCACCTTAACTTCAAAAAAAAACCTCTTAAATCTTATATAAATAATATCAGAACACAAAATTAATTTGTTAAACATATAATCTTTTAAACCAAAATCAGGTAATAAAAAATTATAATTAAGTATAATGTATAATTTTACACTTAGAACAGCCTTTTTAGCTCTAAATAAACTTTGATAAAACTCAAACCTTTAAATAAAATTCTGAAATTTCAAGTTATCACGTGTTCGTAAAATCGATCCTAAACCCGTCAATCTGTATTAGTTATTATTTTTCATTATACGAACTGTACGCAGTACACAGAAACGAAAATTTGCGCACTTTTTCTTTGAACAGACGGAAAAATTAACATTTTGTGAATAGTGCGCACAGTTGTAAACAGTGGTTCATGGTTTTTTTTTTATATTTGCCGCACAGAAAAAATTTCCAAATTGTGCGGTATCCGCACAGTAAATTTTTAACACTGATCTGACTGTTTTCAGATACAAACACGAACGTCCGACGCAGTCAGGACCGTGTGACAACATGCGTGTAACACTAACCTTATTTGAAAAGTACATCTGTTAAATACTAGTTTACAGTTCTTGGAATTCAGGGTTTCAAAATATCATTAATGTACGATCCAAGAAACTGAGGATGCAGTTTGATTAATTGTTTTTTTTTAAATGCGGTGTTACAAATGAGTCATTAACATTTATTAACTGCAATGCATGATTAAAATTTCAACACACGTGAAGCAAAAAAAAAAAAGAAAGAAAGGAAAAAAACACGATCGTATATAAATAAATTGTGCAGGGATATGCAGTCTTTTCAAAATATTTCTATCGAGAATAGTTTTTTCATAATACAATGAATGAAATGTTAAACAACGACCATCCAGGGTAACCAACCAGGGAAAGGGGGCGGGAATTCATAAAATCAATTACAGTATTAAACAATATTAGCAGGATTTGCCCAAGCTAGGTTGTAATTACTGCAGAGTTCAGGCAGTAATTTTAAGAAACGAAGGACAATAGCATAATCGGCGTAGAAAGAATAATAACAATATTATCGGATGCAGAAACATTTCACCAATTATTTTAGAGTTTTATTTGTTTATCTTCACTAAAACAAAAACTTAGGGATTTGCATTTAAACTAAATATTCATGCTCGATCTTTTTGTGAATGTGATTATCACATTTGTTCCTGTTTTCAGCAGGCCAAATTCTTATCAACAAGGAAATTTGTTTGTTTGTGTCTGCATACAGTTAAAAGACTTTGAAACAGAAAATCACTCACAAATATGTGAATATAGTTTCGTTTATGCATACATATAGCAACATATAGCAACATATAACAACATATAGATACTATATAGCAACATATAAACAATTTAACAAACAGCATAAAGTAATTAATCATCAATTAAGATTTGTTATTAATATGCAAAAAAGATTATGCAACAGGACTTTATTTATGTGTTGAATCATAATAAAATAAGGATAAAAATTTTATATTTTGAGTTGGCAGCAAATGACCGAAAGTAACAAAATATCGAATACCATAGAATATCATATTATATTATAAGCGCGCATATAATGATTATTGTAACGCGGCATTTATATAAATAGGAGAGTGAAATGTGAATGAATCACGAAATATAAGACATTTTATTATTATCAATATATAGCGATGGACCGAATATTATCCATTTTACACCCGGAAAAGTATCCGTCACCTGATCCAGCAAGAAATAACAAGAAATGATCGACATAATGCGGAAAAATAGATCTTAGGACGAAGAGATTTTTGGATGAATCTATTACACATTTGCACTAGTTCACTAGTCCATTATAAATAAAATAAACTTAAAAATCATTGGTAAAATAAAAAGATAATAATACATAATAATAACGTGTGTAATATATGCACTTATTGTATCCAGCGTACGTAACTAATGCCAGGGTTCATGAGTACGCATTCATGCAGCGATCACCTTACTAACAAATAACTATCGCTTGTTTGCAACACGCGAATTTTGATGCTGATATCATAGTAAAAGTAAGTTACACGGCACAAATATTTGTAAGGCGAATCCGAATAATACTTGGTTTTCCAAACATAAATGCATTAATGACAATGAATCTAATCTACAAGGGCATGTGGATGCACTCATATGCTGTCTATATGCTCTCTACATGCTCTCTACATGCTCTCTACATGCTATATACATACTATATACATGCTATGAGTGAATAAATTAAGTCATCATTTAGCATTTATCACTATTATTCATCTATTATTGCAGCATGTTTCTAAACTTGCTAAGTAACTTTGACTCGTGTATCTTTAGGAATAACATTCTTTAGATTACGCACATATGACTACTTACTACTTCTTATAAATATGCATAATTATGTAAATATGATTATTTAAGTGAATTTGATATTTAAATTCCATATTTATTATTCTCAAGAATAATGTACAGTATACGTATGAGAAATTTTGGAACAATGTAAGCCAAATTAGTAGGCGTGCATATTCGTAACTGTATACATCATGACTTGTAACATTTTACGTTGTAAAATTTACACTGTAAAATTAGCATTGTAAAATTTACACTGAAATTAACATTGTAGAATTTACACTGAAATTAACATTGTAAAATTTACACTGTGAAATTAACATTGCAAAATTTACACTGTAAAATTAACATTGCAAAATTTACACTAATAATTTCACGCCACACCCAAACACACTCCAAACCAAAATCACACACTCAAATCCAAAGCACAAATCAAATTTTTTTTTTTTAAGCTTCGTTTCGTTTTCTTTGTTGTTTTATTTCGTTCAAAAAAATTGGTCTTAATAGTAACGACCGTTATATTGTATTCCTTCCTTTTTGAAGATTTCGCTTAATAATATTTGATTCTGTAAATAAAATCGATATATATGATATTTTAACGATATTTTAAAAAAAAGTTCGAATTCGATGGAAAGATTTGATTTCTTTGATATCAACGTTTAAAAAAAAAAAACTAAAAGTCCGTATTTTAGCTAAAATTTTAACAAGATAAAAAAGGCGCCTAAACGTTTGTTTCTTGCGCAGCACACCATAAAAGAAAAAAAAGGTGTTTTTGAATGGATCCATTAAAAAAAAAAAATCGAATAAAGAGTGGATTAAGTATGTGTGTTCGTAAAAAAAATTTTCCAGATGCATAAAGTCATAACCTGCTATAATTCATCATAAAAAATTAAACCAAAATTGTGTTCATATTTATCAATGTTTTTTTTTCATATGCTTATTACGAATGTTGTTATGTTTCAGCGTGATTTTTATCTACAGATTCTTCACAAAAAATTTTATCGCCATCATTAACATTAGTATTATTAGTGTTATTAGTATTGGTATTACTGATGTTGATAGACACAAGCGACTCTAATTCGTGGGTCTGTTTTGTAAATAATGATACTTGTTTTTCATCAAGATCACAATGTAGCCTCTCTGATATCTTGGTAATATATGCAATGTGATTGTCCCAAGAATCACCACAAGATTCAGTCGCAGGCGACATCATTACAGTATTATTAAAAGGAAAATGGACGATATGATTGTTCTGTAGGTAATTTGAAAAGGTATTTGGAGAAGGGGGAGGAGACAAATGTAATAGTTGATCAGGATAATGAAGGAGGTTCACTGGAGAAGGTTTATTCTAAAAAATTTAATAATAAAATAACAAGTGTACAACAGGTAATGATAAGGTTCACGGTCCAAAATAGAAAAAAAAACCAAGGTATTAATAATTTGAAATTAAAGCAAATACAAGATTGTGTGATTACCCCACAAAAAAAGCATGCATTTCAAAAATAGAGTTTATCCGATAAAAAAATAACATTTATTACCTTTTCTTTATCAGACTGAGAACCATCCGAGACTTTTTCTCTGCGGTAATAAAGACATATTAATGTCATTCCAGCAGTTCCCAGAAAAGCGACTAGAAGAGAGCTCCCCACCAAGAAACCAACACAAATTTGACTGTCTGACGAAGTATTACATTCGATACTCATTATATATAAGTTTTAATAAATAAAGAAGGATATAACTAAGGAGAGGGAAGGTTTCTCGTGGAAAGGATAATGAGTAAGAACCTCATCTAGATGTTTCAACAACTATCGAGAAATAAAAGAGAGACGAAACATTGAGTAAAAAGAACATCAATTGGCATAAAGATCATTAATAAAAAAATTTATAATATTAATGATAAAGATTAATGATAAATTCGTGAAAAAAAAAAAATTAATAATGATAGATTGATGATAAATTCAGAAAAAAATAGCATCCGGAAAGAATTCACACAAAAGGAATTTCTTTTTGGCCACCTCTTCAGGTCAGCTTTAGGTCATCTTTCAGGATACCTTTTAAGTCACCTTTCAGGATACCCTTTAGACCATCTTTCAGACCATCTTTTGGAGGAGGTGAACAAAAAAGAATAACCTTGGGTAAAAGATTTTGAGCATCCTTTTTATAAGTGTTAAAACGATATATTCTATAATTTACTCGGTACTGATAATATTTTAAATTGCAGTTGCATTACTCACCCATTTGCTTGCGCAATGCAAAGGCGTGAAACAAAAAAAGTTACGCACGAAAAAAAAAAATTTTGATATACACTATATATAAGATAATTATAATTAGTTATATAATTAGTTTACTGTATTAAATTAATTAGTTAATATAGTATATACTTAACATTCGTAAGTAAAGTCGTCACAATAGTTTTTGCACCACATAAAATTGTTCATTATTCATAATCCTTTCTTTACCTTTTTTATTATTTGCATATGGGCCTTTTTTTTTTTTTTTTTTTTTTTTGAAACTCAAATTACATAATATGTGATAACGAAATGATTAGGTCCACGAGCGTATAATGCAGAAAACATCTTCAAGGATTCGCGTTAGTAAAACTGCATCAAATAAAATGCAAGGACCGACTACTAAATTTAAACTATTGTACATGCGAGTAGGTGTAAATATGCATATAAATTGAATCATTTAAAATAATATTTATAGAATAATAGTAATAGGAAAAAATTTTTTTTGTTAACAAGAACATGGATGGTTTGGTGTGATAGTATCGTTGATTTTCTCGATGCGTTAATGTTTATTTTTAAGGAATCAGCCCGATGCTAAGATGAGACAAGTCATTTAAATTGATTCATTGTTTTAAAAAAAACATAGTTTAAATATTTATCGGCAAATATGAGAAATGCATGGTAAAAAATGGTCTACTTGAATGACTTGAATGGACTTTGTTGTATTAACCAAAACAAACTTTAAATAATAAAAGGGTCTCGATTTCCACGCTTTGTAATACAAGCAGCAGAATCTATTTATAAGCAAAGATGACTTCTATGTATGCTAAAGGAATTAGTTTCTAATAGCTGGTGGATGATGATAACTGGTAGATCGAAGAAGGTTCAATAATCTTTTTTGATCAAATTTGATTAGTGAATATAATGTGGCCGACATGACTTTATCCTTGTCTCGCATAATACCTAATCCATGGTTGCCGACATTTTTTCCCCACACATGCAACTCTTACCATTTATGCAATTGTATAAATAATAGACTAACCATTAAATATTTGTAAATAATTATATAATGAAATTCCCGAGTAATCGGTAAAAAAAGGAAACATTAAATGTTTTTCAAATTCCATTTGACTTTATTCTGTGTTTATTCTGTGTGATATAGTTTCATTAATTTTATTAATGTTATTATTAATTTTATTATTGATTATATTAATTTATACCAATTGGTCTTCAATGTTGAGAAATACAATGGCAATTTAAAGTAGGCAATAAAGTATAGTAAATTGGGTTTAATAAATTGGGTATAGAGAATCTGTTATGTCAATGATATCTGATAGATCGGGTATAAAGAATTTCGAATTACTATATTTATGAAGTTTTATGAATTCAAAGAATTCCAAAAGAAATCTCGGATGAAAGGAACAAATACAACTTAAACAGGAAATTAGCTTGATTCACGATTTCAAATTCGATTTGTCACAGCAGATGGATTGAATGCTCAAAAAAGGCTGAATGGACGCATATAAAATTCTTTATAAATGTATTTCAATAAAAAATGAATACGTAATCAGTATTTACGTATGATACAAACAATTCGATAATTTATCACCATAATTTCGTGTAACCATAGCTCGATTTTTTTTTTTTTTGTAAAAGAAATGTTGATGGATTCCTTATTGGCTCGTGTTCTTCTCTTTGAGAAAATACAAATAGGGATATAACTCTGGTCAATCTTACCTTAGGAATAGCACATTGATATTGAACAATCATGCGACATGAAAATTGGAAAACATCTGCTCCTATCAATGAATTTGGCGTACGTATATGCGTACCTATTTACTTTTTTTTTTTTCTTCTGTTTCATCAAATTATTTTTGTGTATCTACTTTAAACATGTAAAATAAATACAAACTAGACTCAAAAGAGATCATTTATTTGTCCAACGAAAAAAATTGTTTACAATACTACACCATTTATAAATATCCAGTTACTTCTTTTTATAAATATCCGGTTACTTCTCTTTTTTTTTCTATATCCTTTAGGAACCTGCATCGGATTTACACATATCCCACATGTCACTTTTTTTTTTTTTTTTTGTTTCCATAATTGATTTTGATTATTTTGATTATATAAATATGTATGGTGCATACAACCATTGCATCATCTCCAATCATGTCTGCAGGGATATTAAACAAAACTCTAACCGGAATCTAATCCAACTTATGAAATGATGCAAACCATACGTCAATATTTACCCACCTCCCTTTTTATCTCTCAGTCTATCGGTGTTTTTTTTCTTAAAAGAAAACGTGTGATGCTACGTTTCACTCAACATTGCAAATCTCAATTCCATATACGCGTCTTTCTCCGATATATGGATTTTCCTCCAACTTCACGGACCCGTTTGGTATTGTGACATTAGAGCACGGACTCTTTACATTTTTTTGATTATTATTCATTTGTAAAAGGCACAATTAATTACCTTATCAGCATATAGTGAGAAAGCATGTTGGCCGGTTACACACTTGAACGAGACTTACATCAAACATGCGTTATGAATTATTCTCATTGTCGTTACATATATATACTGTATTTTTTAAAATCTGAATTTGAAATATTAAAATTTATTAGCATACAATTAGAATACAATTAGCATACAATTAGCATACAATCAGCATACAATCAGCATACATATTTCTTATCATAAGATCACTTGACAATATTTAAAAATAGGTTGCCCAAAGGCATTTGCAATGGTGGTCAGTGAACTGTTTTCCAAAGGTAATTATCGACAAATGTTTGTAGTACACATTTTTCTTTTGTAACATACTTTTTTTCAAAGATCTGACGAATGAGTAAAGATCTTTACTTCATTACTTGGTTAATATTAAGCACTGTGTATGCATAGTGAAACAATATGTTGAAGCAAAATCTTTCCCATTATCGCCAATCCCCAAAATCGAAGTATAAATCCATTTAATTCATTTGTACCTCTTCCTTTTGTGTAAGTTATTTTATTATCACCTTTATATTGATACTACTTTAAAAAAAAAATGACGCCGACTTGTGTGTTCTGTGAAATTTGTTTGGCTCCTACCAATCCACCTTTTTCGGTTTGTGTCATTTTTATTACTACTTTTATAATACAACACGTCAAACTAATGCATTATCAAAATGCGTTTGACTATTGAATAGATTTGTGAATTAAATTGTGAATTAAATGATGAATTAAATTGAGAATTACTGTGGATTATTGTGAATGGATTGTTCTAAACTATAAATTCCTAAATAGTATCGATTAAAATTTGTTATGCACAAAGTCAATGTCATGCTCGTGATTTTCTGTATCTTTTATTCATTGAACGGAGATAATGTCGGTGATCTTCCTGTTTAAAATTCCTACATTTCCGACATTTAAACTATGTACAATATACGCGACTAAGTATTACCCACATATATGTTCTTTGTTACTCTCACTTATCTGCATTTGCTGCACAAACATTCTTTAATAACGAAAACAAATAAAAAAAATAAAGTATTATTATGATTGGTGTTTATCAAATCTCTGATGATTACTTATGTGCCACTTCCATTCAAAGATTACCAATTACTATTAAATCCAATACAGTATATCGTTACGATTGAATCACGTAATTATGATTTACCTTCAAAAAAATATCGAAAATTGTGAAAGAACCAATTGCAAAGCAATTATGCCAAGGTACGTAATCCATTATTTATTATTGAATTACTCGTTTAGGAACACAAATCAATTTTGTCGATCTGTGGTTTTTATTAAGGTTATAATGATAATGGTTACAAGAAAAAACTTATTAATAAAAACTTTCTTGAGTGTTTACACACTACATGCACAGTCTTCACACACATGTTTTATCAACATACCCACATATTTGTGCCATTGTTTGTTAGATAACAATTTTGTAATCATTCGCAACATTTAATGTAATATTGTGTTATATAAACTATCATAAGATATAAACATATCCGAAATAAACATGTCAAATTTGATAGGTCTTTACATGAATGTAAAATAATTTAATTATTCATGTGCCATACAATAACTATCGTGAAACTATGCGATGCGCTTAGTGTTATTTGACTATAACTATTTTATCTATAATAATATCTTTTTCTAAATCCTTAATGTATCTTTAATTTACCTTTAATATATATCTTTAATATATATTTAATATATCTTTAATATATCTTCAATGTATCTTTAATATATCTTTAATATATATATATATATTTACACACATATACATATTTGAATATATATCCACTTTGATTTATATACGATATATATTATATCTATAGATATGTGTAATTGCTAATAATTTTTTTCTATGTAATCTTGTACTAAATATACGTATAATCACAAAATCCCGTGATTTAATAAATCTTTTTTACATAGTAAAATCGCTATGCATAATGTAAACTATATCGATATCGATATGTAAAAGCGGATTTGACCATCAAATGATCTGCGTGCGTGCGTACAGTACATTCACCCTATCTGCTGTCGTATAGGATACTGCTCAACAATCGTCATAGTTATGTACATCAACCTTGATCATCATATACTAAAATGTATATATCCGTTGAGAGTTAGCATTAAGTAATTCCTTACTATGATCCAAATATCTGGCATTCAAATACATATCTGATTCTTTAAGGCTCACGTACATGTATGTAAAGATATTTTGCGTTTCAAGTTCCAGTTTCACAACTGCAAACTTTTAATATATAAATGTGTTGTGAGCTCTCACATTGAGAAAAATGCAAATAAATAAAAAATATTAGTTTATATAGATTTGATGTTCGATACTCAGAATACGTTTGGAACAGTGACGCCTTTCAATTCTTTATAAAGTATTTTTTATAGGTTCTGATATGTTTT